GTCTGTACAAAGCAATGGGAATAGGGCCATGGAACAAGAAACTTGGACAGAGCAAAAGTTACCATTTAACACGAGGCTAATGGTAGTAATAGGTTGCAGTTAGAAACACAGGCTTGAAATCTTTCTGTTTAGAAAAGGCAAAGTAAGTCACAATCATCGAAGCTGCAGTATCCACTAGTTGCGAGCTATAATGTTCAGACATATCATTTGTCATCCTCCCTGTCCTTACAACTCAAGGCTTGGAGTCTGAAATTTGGAGGTTACAATGAGACATCTGTTACCGTTCATTCCTATGTATAAACTGGGAAGGAAGGGTCTTGTGTTTATAGTGAGCTACACTTGACCATCATGTATCAAACAGAAACATACTGTCTGTTAACATTGCCTCTGAGATGCCTCACTTACTTTGTTTCAAACAATTTGAGTGTGTGTGTGCGTGTGTGTGCAAACAGTGAAGAGTGTCAGTTCCAGTGACATGCTGATTCTGCTGTGAATCCCACCTATAAAACAGCCTTTCAACAAAACCTGGCTGTGACCTAAATAAGGGATTGACAGGAGCCCTATGTTTACATGCCTTCTGATATGAGCTATGCATTAGATTTTTAGTTCATGAAGAAATGGCAAGGGCTTTAGATGCATAATTGTCACGGGTAAATCGTGTTTTTCTCTCTGTCTGCGTCAAAATACAAAGTTGTTACATTTTGATTAGAGACTACGGAATCTCCTCTATCTCCATCTCTGAATTTAATTAGATCTCCTTTAGCTAGACATTTAAATTCCAAGCATGCATTCAAATCCAGCCCATCCAAAATGCAAACAATTTGTCTTTTAAGTGTCTGATCTGGGCAGTCTACTTACTGTCAATTATCAACTGGCATAATCTATTTTGACCTGAAATAGTGATGTTTTGAACGGTTAAAGTTAGAGCTGCACAACTCCCTAAAATTTTAATTCATTCATCAAGTTAGGAACTTTCATTACAGTAATAAATGCTTGAAAGGGATACTAAGTGCGAAATCCATTCCACTTTTCATTACTGAATGATTTAAAAATGTCTTATTTATAGGTAGGCAAGTACACTTTATTATTGGATGCATGTCTAAGAGTGAGGTGATTGAGGTTTGGAAGTATTTGTATGTCAGGAAGAAAGCAAATAAACATAAATACATTGCCCTTAATATGCTCCTCATGCCCGTAGCTAAATTGGACTTTGCTGCAATTGGCCCATATTGGAGTAACCAATCAAAATAAAAAGATATACTTGTGGATAGAACAGCGGATTAATGTTTCTTTCATCTATGGGTTAATCCACTGAAAATTTCCTCTTTCTGTCCTAGGCAGTTGTTAGACACAACTCTCCTAATTCAAATGAGTTTAGGGGTGCTTTCATCTCAGTTTCCAGTGAGCATGAGTCTGCAACTTGTGATCAAACTTGTGTCTCTGAGAGATAGGGCTTGTCAACTCTCCAGGATTGCCCTGGAAGTCATGAGAAAACAAAGACTAATCTGTCAGACATTACTCCAAGCAGCCACGGGGATGAAAGGAGAGGAAATTAAAAAAAAAAACACTTTTGTTTATTAATCATTGTAATATTGGACTGTAAGAAAAGGGAGCTTTGTTTGACGGTCAAGAATCATCTATTCGGCTAGTGATGAGTCTGCTTTCTTTTCAGTGGGTGGGAGAAGACAGGATATCATGAGCATGTCATGACACCAGAGAATGTGAAGAGTTGGGGTGATTTCTTATCTCATTGAGCCTGCAAGTTTACTCACCGAAGGCTTAGCAAGTTGATCCAGCACACACACCAGTGCTCTCATTCTCAGGTTTGGTGCCTATGTTGCTGCCTTAGCAGATTTCAGCTGATAGAATGAAAGTGACATCAGTGCCCCCGAGGTCTGGGAGAGGGAACCAGGTTTTCAACTCTTGAACATTAGTGGGCGAGCTCTGCTGAAAGCACAGATGTGGATAATGGATGAGGACAGCCCTCCATAGTAAAATAACCTTCCATTTTTCGCTTTATGGGTACACATTTGAATAATGAGTGCTTGAGGGAAGTCCTAAAGAATAACTAGAGCCTTTGGAACTTAAGTCCCAGCAATACTAGAGCTGGTAACATTAGTGAGGGCTGAACTGAGGAGGGGCTGAGTCACCAACGATGAAAAGAAACATGTTTATAACTTGATTATTAAAAATCTCATCACCTTCAAAAAAGTAAACCTGGCTGCTTTGATTTCATTTTCAGAAACTCATCATTTTAATGAGCAGGTTCGAAGTAAAATGCAAGATGTTACAGAAGTTGTACAATTTCATAATTACTAAAAGAGTGCAGAATCTGTGAACAACAGCTGATTGTCAACACAGGGGCTGGATGACAGGAAATTTAATGTGAGAAAAACTGTACAGAAACACATAAGGCAGGTTAAGCAAGGAACACATGGCTTTTATGGATAGATAAATAATTGGTTTATTGAAAAATCAGTATAACGGTAGATTCCAAATTGTGATGACAATACAAAGAAAGGAAAAGGTAATAATTTATTATATAGTTGTAGACAAGCATTAAAATCAAATAAAATAGAACATAATAAGAAGGATTGCACAATTATGATCATTTCAGTATACAAATAAAAACAAGTTGAAAAATGGAGGTCTCCTTAATTTACAGAATAGAAATGAAAGGTCTATTGCATTCTGCATTTTGCATTAAAGTCCATAAATCATATGTTGTCAGGTTGCATTAATTAAATTCTCAATAATTTATGTACCATTTTATGAAGTTTATAAAGCAGGGGATTGGGATGTCTTGTTGTATATATGTTCTACAACTTATTTGTTCAGTGATGTCTTTTCTGCTTACTTCCATCACACATTTATTTTTATATAGGTGTGGAGAGATATAGTGGCAATGGAAGAGGTTTCTAGATAAGTCTGAACAGCTGTTTTCCACCTTTCAGCAAAGGAGTGCATATTCAGTTGTTTGATTGTGTCAGAGTAGCTTTGGTACATGTTACCTCGGATCATTTTCTGCTCTCGTTTCTGAATGCTTTATACTAACTTTGAAAATCAACAAATAGATACTGTGCAGCTTTAATGAAAATGTATTGCCATATCAAGAGTTACATGCTGAAAGACCGTATTTGATGATCATTTCCCAGCACAATTCACAAAAAATAACGCAAAAAGCACTTAATGTTCTCTATTGCATGACAATTGAATGATGCTCCATTGGATATTACAGTACCAGTATGTATGAATGCTGGAATGTTTTCTTTAAAGGTGCTGACCATGGTTTGTGTCAATATGAACTCATTTGCAGATAATTCCATAAATGGTATATATTTGATGTTGAAGACTAACTGCAAGCAAAAAGTGAAACACATAGTTCATTTGAATTAGCCAGCAGCTGGCAATAGGTTATTGATAGAAATGCCATTTTGAGATTGAAAACAGATTGGAGGTGAGCTGAGCAACATCCTAAAATTTCAATAATGATATTTTTATCGTGCATCTTGTCCTGATACAAGGTAATCTTCCAAAGTCTATATTTTTCTCATCTAGAAATGTTTTAATTTGAGGTGATTGAGTCATGGAGATATCCATTTGTGCTCCTGTGCATATATCATCAAGGAGAAGTTAGACATTCTCCATCCTGTTCATTGTTTCGACAGAAGAGAATAAAGCTTTGCTGGAAAGTAACCTATTTAAATGGCAAATGACCTTCAGTTCCTGTCCTTTTTTTATCTCACACATGGATGATTGCTTAAAGTTAGCATGACGCAGACTACCTTTGAAATACCACTTTTATATCTTTTCTCTCAGCTCTCTCCCCGCTCCCTTGTGATTCAGCCTCTGCAGGCGCTTTTTAAGCAGTTGTCCTGGTCTTCTGTTTAATTCATCTCTGAAACATGGCCACCAGGAGGTGCTGTTGTGGTATGGGGAGGTCTCTTATGCTTCCAGAGACACTTCATCGCAATATTCCATTTCCCCTAAGTCAGCATTTAATAAATACTCTAAGACTGATGACATAGAGAAAGTGAGATGGCTCTTTCTTGTTTTATATTATATATAAAATAATAAATGCTTTTGGGAATGTCATTTCATTGTGCAATAGTACTGTGCAAACTCATATGATATTTCCATGTATGTTAAAATACATGCCCCCATTGAAAATAGACATAGTTCTATTTCTTCAAATAGACCAAAGGCATTTTATGGGTATACAAGTATTTTATGGCTAATATTATATTGAGCAACTTCAGCTGATTTGATAATATTAATGGCCATTGAAGCTGGACATTTGGAAATCCAGTAGGATATTCTATTTGAAAACATATATTTGCAACATCTCCTTGAAAACTACATTGGAAGTCATTGACTATTTTTCCAAACAAGCAAAGCTCTGAAGACTTGAATACAGTTGTAATGCTTGTTTAAAGTTGTAATTGACTCATGCATCACGAGGGACTAGCTGTTACTGCACAGGAATCACAGGTAGTGTAGCCTCAAGAACATAATATTGCTAATTTATCAACTCAGCAGCCACCATTAACTTGAAAAGGCAACAACCAACTTTTACAGTATCTGTTAAAGTAGCATGATATAGAAACAAGTGCCTTTACGAAAGCACACGCACTGTTCTTTCATAAACCTATTATTGGTTGGTATTGGTGAAATCCGTCCCACAAAGTTATAGCAATTATGCTATCGAACAAGAACGGGGATTTGTGTTGGAATAAACTTTGCTTCTGTAGCGCATTTTCTGTGTGTCACCTTTGTAATCTTTCTTGTCAACTTGAGAAATAT